CTTATCTTAGTGTTGTCATCTGGAACGAAAAGAAATATGTAGCAATAGAATTTGTATAAATCGAAATACTTACGTGAACGCAAACAAGATCGTGAAATGCAGATAATGACCACAAAAAAATTAATATTAATGAATATATGCCTGACAAATTTAGTCGTGTAACATTTCCCAGAGACTATCTTTTGTTGCTAATAGAATCTGAAAGTAAATGACAATAGTATATCCTTTTCGATTAATATCTGGAATTTGCATATTTAGTTTTTTAAAAATGCGACATTTACCACTTAGACATGTAAGAGATTATATATTTTATACTATAGATTTATATATTATATTTATATATTATTGAATACGGCTAATAACCATAGAAGTTGACGCCATCAAAAAAAAACAAATATGATAACCATGTATCAAAAGTAAAAATTTCGGACATAACATAGATACGTGTTCACAAAAAATGTTTGGATTATGCTAAACATTTTGCATGTTTTTGAGGTCACTAGTAGCGAAACAGATATACGAGTATTTTTGTCGAAATGAACATGACGTTTACAATATGGCAGACATGTTTGCAGATAATGTTTCGATTGCTCTCGAGTCCAAGTTTTGAATGTCGCTGATAACAAATTTAGCATCGATCCTTCAAAAATCAAAATGGCGGACATATATGCAAAACATATTTTAATTTCGCAAAATTTTGAGTTTTATATGTATCCAAGGTGTTTTGTCAATTATTGCATGTACAAATACAACGTCACATAACTGTCAAGGTTGCATTTGCAGCTGGTTGCTTTAAAATGCGGCACTATTCGATTATTTATTTCTCAGACACGAGCTTCTTCATATTTTAATGTTTGATGCGACATATATTCCCTAATATCAAAATATGATTTATACATCTCTACAAATGTGGTCAAAATCATGATCCAGAAGCAAAAACAATTTTTTTTACATTTGGTCAGATTTTTTGGCTCTAAAACCACTGTTCTGATAAGATTTCTGTCGGATTCAGTCTCCAAGAGCTCCTAGTGTCCTGGATACGACATATAACTGGGTACGTGTGATGAGTCTCATCCAGGATAGTTATCTTGATATACGCCACTGGAATAATTGTTTATTTTTTTGCGTAATGACATAATTACCTTCCGTTTTCTAGGTCACGTTGTAGCAGGTGTGGTGGGCTTAAAAATGCCTCGGTACTGCCTTTTTGGTGATACAGTAAACACAGCATCAAGAATGGAAACTTACGGAGATGCTTTCAAAATTCACATATCGCATGCTACTTACACATTGCTTCAACGACTTGGTGGATACACTTGCGAGGAGAGAGGCGTTGTACATATCAAGGTGAGCTATCATGACGATCAAAGGGTGAAAAACGTCTCATTGTTTACCTAACTGTGTACTGTTTATATTGTGTTTCTTCTTTTTGTGATATTATATAAGTTTCTCTATAAGATGTCAACTTGGTACTGACTGTTGTTTAGTTGATGTACATTCGTTGTGTAGCTGCACGTGTTGCCTAAACGTCATGACGCTTGAGCTACCATGGTTTGGCTCTGATGTGATGTAATATCTGCTTTAGAGATCGCATTATTGGAGGTCTAGGCTGTGGGTTGTATGCTAGGTATAGCTGGAAGGAAATAGGCGAAACGGCAGTGCATAGGTGCTTAGTGAGGATTTGTGTGCTAATAATCTGTGTTGATGGTAATTCCCTTGGTTTCTTGTCTCAAATACACTTACTTGAGATGAATGCTTCGTCACTGCGAAAATGTCTTGTGTGTGATACGTAATTACTACTTTTTTTGTGATGTGGCCTAACTACACATAACACGGGCGCGGTGGTGATGCAAGAAAACAAGGGAAAATCATAATTTATAGCTTTGAACCTCCTTCAGGAAGGACAACACAAATAACCCGTCTGGTACAGTTAATAAATATACTTCAGAGGGAGCACATTTAGTAATAACTTTCTCATATAGCAAGTATCACTGATTTTATACAAATGCAGACTAATATACACAATCACTACACAATCATCCAGATGCGATCTTGCTACAAACTATCGTGGCATTCTGCAACCAACAAAGCATCGTGTCGTTGAGCCATTCTTATAGGTGACGCTATGGGTGACGCTCACAGCTTTCTAGACAACAAGTTGACATTTTGGCGTTTTTTTTACTTTATATTGGTTCTTTACGTAATAATCCTGCCGATGCCTAAAAAGGAAAGTCAAGGATCGCAGCGCCATCAATGACACAGTAGCAGAACACAAAAGCGAATTTAGAGTTAGCGTGTTTGGTTC